AGCGTTCTTCGTCTGCTCAGGGCTGCATGGAGTGCACAGCAGGAAGAATGGGGGCAGAAGAGCAGCAGACAGGGGCTGGAGAGGGTGGGCCGGTGGGCGCAGCGACGGCAGCGGGGGCTAGTTGAGGACCACGCACCTGAGCTGTGTAGCTTGCTGGAGGCTCTCTGCCATCTTCTCGGTAGGGTTGCGGGTTCTACGGGCCCGCTTGTTTGCAGGGTAGCTTGCTGCCACGGCCGCTGCAGTAGATGGCTCGTCGTCGCTGTCGTCATCCAGTCGCTGGCGGGATCGCTTCTGGCTCAGCCGCTGCGGCACAAGGAAACAGCTGTGATGGCAATAAACAAAAACGCCACCCGCAATCAACGAGCATGTGGAGGTTGAGCTGTGGACACCAGCAACAGGCTGCCGCTGGCCTGCCCAGCAGCACCATCGCCGCACCCGTGTGATTGGCAGCTCTGAGGAGTCGCTCGCCTCCTGCTCCGCCTCTTCAACAGCTGCAGCGGTACCCGCCTGCAAACCAGTGCACAATTGATAATCAATTGGAGGGTACGCCTGTGGGCCTGCCGCAATAGAGTTGCTTACTTCTTCTTCGTCCATTGTCGCCTGCTGCTGCGCGGCCGCCCCCCGCTGTGCGGGCTCAGCGCCTCGCTCCTGCTGCTGCGCGGCCGCCCCCCGCTGTGCACGCTCAGCGGTCTGCTCCTGCTGCTGCGCGGCCGCCCCCCGCTATGCGCGCTCAGCGGTCTGCTCCTGCTGCTGCGCGGCCGCCCCCCGCTGTGCGCGCTCAGCGGTCTGCTCCTGCTGCTGCGCGGCCGCCCCCCGCTGTGCGCGCTCAGCGCCTCGCTCCTGCTGCTGCGAGGGTGGCTGCTGCTGTGCGGGCTCAGCGCTCCGGCCCTGCTGGGCCCTGCCAGGATTCACCGCTGCTTGCCGAAGGGGCGACGTGAAATCACCTGCGGCAGGGGTGTGAGTGCAGCGACTCAATGAATAGAGACAGCCCCTTCCCCTGACGGGCGAGAGGCTACTCAATTTCCTTTCGAGCATTACATCAGGCGGCAGCCGCACCTGGCTCATCGTCTGCTTCA